AGAGGGACAGAGAGGAATAGAGTGAGAGAGATAGAGTGAAATTATTGGCGGTGAATCGTTTCTGGGACGAGGACCAGGAACGATTCAGATAATACAAGGTGTGGGCTATTCCTCTGTATTTTCTTCCGCTTTTATTTTTAAAGAGGTCTTTTTGAAAATGGAGAGATACATGCACGCCAAGGGTGGGGAAAATTACGAGTAGGGAGAAAGGATACGAAGGGAGGTGGATCGATGGCAGAGAAAATATTTATTTGTCGCGAATGACGGTTTTAAAATAGAGTACCGGTGTGTACCTGCTAACGCTCTGGAATTATGCCGGATTCTTTCTAGTTCTCCACTGGAATCAAACCGGAATTCGAGAGAGGCGCTGCCGATCCTCTTCCTTCTTCTTCTGCTTAGGCTGTCTTTTTTCTTTCTATTTGTATAAATATAAAATACTTGTTAAAGTGGCCGGATTTTGTGCTTCTTAACAATGGATTATTTCAGTATGTGAGCTTCGAATCGAAGACTGTACGTGTGTGGATATCGATCTGTCTTTAGATAGATTCCAACGATTCGATCTGTTTCCCAACGCTTTTGAGGTGCATTCTAATCGTCTCGGACTTTTTACAATATTTTCTATCGAGACATGGAAGAAAACAGAAGAAATTACTCCACTTCGATTCTTTTCCTTTTGAAATTCCGTACCGACGAAAAACATTCCCTTCAATTAAAACAATGTATATCAATTTCACTTCTTAAGGCTTGAAAAGTACGTTTCTACTTTTCAAATTCACCATAATCGATTCGCACGCACAAAAATAGATAGAATTTCGACAAAATTCACCGATTCAAATATAAAATTTCGAGGTCGCCCGGGTTTCATGATCAGTTTCTCCGTCAGCTCGGTTATTACGATGAAACGACGTCCCGGATTTTCGTGTTTTTTCACTCTTCCGCTCCCTCTCTCCCGCCGCCCTACGCGGCAACTACTTCGGGCTGGACAAATTGAATTTAACTTGGACTAATACGCCGGCCGAAAGAGCGCGTATTTAGCCGCTTTGTCCAGACACATCGTGGAAATCAGCGATGATTTGTGTGTCTCCGGCGCCGCGGCGGATTTTCCTTCCCTTTTTTTTTTCACTCCCGTCGACAGAGGATCGAGATTGAATTTCTTGCACGTTGTCGCGCCTTTCTACGGCTATCGCAGCGATTTTTTGCCCCCCCTCACAACTGCACGCAAACACATGTAGAATCAAACCCTTTCTTTCTTTTTTCCCACAGCGGACTCTTCTGGATTTAACTCTTTTACGGTATTAAAGAAATGGACTGAATTGAAATTTCTAATCAGAGGGGAGACTCATCTTTTCAGAAGGGGTTGAACTATTTTTTCCCCCATATTTTTTCCCAATTTCGAACATGTCGAAATCGTCCACGATCCGGCCGCGTGTATGTCAATTAGAAGGTTTATATGGTGCGGGCGTGGGAAAGGTAGAATTAGCTTCCCGAGCAGGGTCGCGATTCTTAAATGCGCGACGATCGATTCTCCGGCGGCGGAGAAAGGTGACTGGCTAAGCGAAATTGCACGTTGTCAACCACCTGCTTCGTACGCTGAATTTGACGTATCGTTGCATTATTTCTAAGATAACTAGAAACTTTGAGCTGTCTGGTCACATCGAAGATACTTTTCCTTTCGGATCTCGGTGTTAGATTTTCACGAATTCTTCTCGACGATTCTCTCAGGAGAATATAGAGAGATTGTAACGAATACCTTCTTAACTCGTTTCTCGCGTTACCTACATCGATCTAACCGGCATGCAGCAGAGCGTATCTTAGCGCCACGCCACTTTGATTAAAAGTTTCGAAAGTTATGCTGCGAAGTTGGCATTTTTTTACGGCGAAAGCTGGTGCAACAGCGATACAGAGGCCTCGAAGTACCGTCAAACGTCTCCTATTAATAAGATGCGATCGTTTTCCTCCGTGCAAAAATGAATTATCTAAGGATCACTTTATGACATTAAAATTCTGCTAGTACCAAATTACCAGCAACCTGGGGTCGAAATGTTTTGGCTATAGTAATGACAGGCCACCACTCGTCACTCTGAATAATCGTATCGCGTACAATTAGCATTAACCCTTTCGCGACTAGCGCCGGTTATATCCGGCATCCACTAAATGCTTCACACTAGCCAGCGCCGGTTATATCCGGCATCCACTAAACGCGTCGCATTGCCTCGCGACTCAACAGCTCAAAGTGAAGATTTACTTTAAAATACAGAACAAGGGATATCCGGCATCCACTAAACGCGTCGCATTGCCTCGCGACTCAACAGCTCAAAGTGAAGATTTATTTTAAAATACAGAACAAGGCCCTTTATCCGATACACCCTTAAGTCCTCTGTTGTTCCAACGAAATCCTCTAAGATTTGAAAAAACGCGAGACACTCTTCATGCGTATGGTGTGCACTAGTGGCACGACGACGACCCGTTCGTTTAGTGGCGAATTGATGGCTAGTTTCGCCGTCGCGAAAGGGTTAATACGGCTACAATCACAGGAATAATGATAACCGTAGCAGCCGTAGACTGTGGTATTATAGCGTTTCCGCGAAATTACGGACACTTATTTGCAACGGCAAATACCCTTCCCGCCTAGGTAAGTAAGAAGAGCCTTTGATTGGTGAATTTCGTTGGAAGTTCTCATGAACTCGCTTCGCGAGATATTACTTAACGCTTGGCATTCGTCTGCTTCACGTTCCGATTGTGACAGACACGATCGACATGGCATTTCTCGCCGATTTTAGCCTGTTTGCCAGAAATGTCAATTTGCTTGATTTGACGCAATGCTGCTTGCATCTTGGATAAATCTTTGCTAATATACACGATGGTGTTAACGCTAATCCACATTTCCTAAAAATTCAGCAAAGCCTTCAAGCATCGCCTCTTAGGCCTTTCTCGTACCTTATTTCCAAGGGTGGAAAGGAAACAAGTTCGATTTTGCGATGGTAGTGGCACTCTGTAACCCTTTAACCTTTACACCGGCTTATAATCGCCGTTTGGACGAGAAACCATCAAGCATACCACCACGATCAAGAACTGATCGATATTGTTCTCCACCAGTAAAACTACAGTCGCACGGTGTACGTTCCAAAATCACGGATAATTTCTGGTCGGTTCGCGAAGACGCGAAACCTTTTCAGGATCAGAATGAAAAGGAGAAGAGAATAGGGAGGCAGAGAAGAGCAGCAAGAGAAGAGAAGAGAGAAGAGGGTTCGTGGAAAGGACGAGAGGAGGTGAAGACAGAGGCGGCCTATACTCGTCCCTGAATAACGCATGACTGTCTGGCTTGAAATTATAGCATTTCACCCCCTCCCCCCCCAAACTCTGTCGCAGGAACTACCCCTTGGCTCTGGACGCGCTTGTTCGCTGCGCTTTCATTCAATTATGCATCTAGCTTCGCCTGCATCTCTTCCTCCTCCATCTGCTCTTATTATTATTTTCCCGCGCGTGGCCTCTCCACCGCTATTTCTTGTGCTCTGGAGTATCGGCAACAGCCTCGGGATGTACCCTATTCTTCGATAGTCATTTTTACCCTTCACCAAAATAAACTAGCACACGTTCGATTTGAAAGACTGTCTTGTTTCTGGAATACACGAGGAGCATCGAAAAGTGATTCTTGACCTCTCTCTATGTAGAGGGTTCCTCTTCCAAGGGGTGAATGAAAATTTGAAAGTTAATCCAGGGGATTGGTTCACAGTGAAATATTTCACGTGAACTTGACCTTAATGGAAGTCGACACCTGTTTTTTGCCTGTCTTGACTGCAGAAGTGTATCTTTATCTGATGATTCTTTTTTTTTTTTTTTATTTTATTCTGGAGAGTTTGGGATGTCTACGTGATTTTTTTTTTTATGTCCAGAGTAATTTTTCGCTAGTCGAAAATTAGAAATGAATTTTGATTTCGGTATTTCTTTCTTGTCGAGTGCTTAGTCATGGTCAATCTTTCCCCCAAGAATGCTATGTTATCAGCGTAGCAATTTTACACGTGTTTCAAACGTATCCTGTAGACTTACAAACCTGTAAACTCGGTTTCTTCGAGCAAGTATTTGCGTTGTGATGTATTTACGTATGTTTATTGGCTCCAGAGTAATAATTCAAAGGCGGGGGTTGCCCTATCATGTATGTGTTCTATAGTTGATCGGTTTTTCACGAGGTGACGAGCTGCAGTTACGACGTAAAAATTTCAAGCGTTCCGTATCGCCTCTATAAATATTCACGCCTCGACGAAACACCAATATACTGGGTGTCCCACCAACTATGTCTACCTTAAATATCTCCATTGTTTCAAGTAATAAGCGAACATGTTACACATTATCGTGCATATTATCACATAACGTGATGGCAATAGTTTCTTGGCAAATGTCAATTTTGTTTTTTTTTCTTTTTTTTAAATAGAATGTTGAATTACTTAAAAGTGGAATTCGATGGAATAGTGGATTTTGAGTATAAGCGTACTAAGGTACATTTATCTATATCGGACAGATTTTGTGAAACACTCTGTATATCTAGAGTAACACGAATACGTTCGAACGCATATGCGTAGCTGTTACTGGAGCCTTTTTGTGATCGTTGATCGTTATTCGAAGTGCACATTGAACTTATATTGGTACAATTTTTGTCCGATAAGAGCGGTAACAGAAAGTAGAAGAAAATGATATTTTACGTAAAATTTTGTATCATTTTTTAAATTCAATCATTCTTTATTTTTTTCGATAAACATTGAAGGTTAGGTGATCATAGTGTTGTATTACACGTTCTTCACCATGACGAAAAATTACGAGCGAGCGTAGAATGCTCGCGGCGGAAGTCAGAAGTAGCACTGTAAGTCGAGAATAGCATAGTCGTATTACAGATTCTGTTTGCCAACGGCGACAATGATGTTATCGGAACCCGTTATTTCAAGCCTCGACTTGATTTTACACGGAAGTGCTCGAAATTACAAGTATTCGTGTCATTTTTGTTACAGGAAAGCGATAACCTCTGGTGGGATGCATTTGCGACTGAATTCTTTGAGGACGATGCAACCTTAACGCTCACGTTTTGCTTGGAGGATGGTCCCAAGAGATACAGTAAGTAGTCGATGCTTTTCTTACACCTTTCATCTCGATTTTCTCGTTGAGAAAAAGATAAAAGAAAAAGAAAGAAGGAAAAAGAAAAAAAAGGTGTTATTTAGTAATAGCGTACAGAAGGACAAGGTAGAGAGGCTATGTTTGGCTATTTTTCCTTCGAGAAAGAAGGCGTTCGTTCTTCTTCACGGTCCATTGTCCCCGGCAGTTGGTCCGAGTCGCAGCACGCACAATATACGCGTTGCACACGTTCTAAATAATTACGTGCCACCGCAGAGCAATTTTGCAGTCGGTGGATTTTAATGCCTTTCCTCTCTCCCTCTGTTCGTTGCTGAATGCACGGTAACAACGTGATTACATGTCATATCGCGTCGAGCGCAAACGACAGTTCCGCGACGCGCATTGCCGATGCAATAAGATGCAACCGAGTCTCTGCCTCCCTCCTTTCCAACCTGAATTTTCCTAACCTAAACACCTTTGCTTGTCATTCTATCTGTAACGTCCATATTAGAATTTCTTTTTTTTTTTCTTCTTTAATTTGTCTTGGAAAATTTATTGAATGTTTTCTAACGATCGATTTTATTTGCGGTTACAGCGATAGGCAGGACGTTAATACCTAGGTACTTCCGTTCAATATTCGAGGGCGGAGTGACGGAACTTTACTACAATTTGAAGCACCCGAAAGAGTCATTTCACAATACCAGCATAACCCTCGACTGTGATAACTGCGTTATGGTCACGCATCACGGAAAACCGATGTTCACGAAGGTAAGGGGGCAAGATGTGTGATGATCATCGAATCTGTTATCATTGTTGCGCTATCGATTCACGGTTTAACAATGTAAACGAAAGGAATCATGCTTCGAATAACACCGAACAGCTCATTTAGCGAGTACGCTTCTTCGGTCATGTTCTCCACTTCCCCCTCTCTCACTCTCTCTCTTTTTTTCTCCTTATTATACTTTACGCTCTTCGATCTGATCGTAGAGTTTTTTTTTCACGTTTATTTCAAACATAACATATCCTAATAATTTTACGTGTAGCTATACGGAACAGATGTGAAATAAATTTTCTCACCTACTTCGGATTCGTCCGGAGGCTGTTGTTCGTGTTTAACGAAAAAACAAACTGAGTATATGTTTGTCCCGCAGGTATGCACGGAAGGTAGATTAATATTGGAGTTCACGTTTGATGACCTTATGAGGATAAAGTCGTGGCACATGTCGGTAAGGACGCACAAGGAGCTCGTGCCTAGAACTGTGGTCGGTATGCAACAGGATCCGACGATGCTCGAGCAGCTTAGCAAGAACATCACCAGGCAGGGCATCACCAATTCCACCTTGAACTACCTTAGGGTACGTATATGTTAACCCTTTGCAGTCGAAACGCTGCAACGCTCGCTTTACCAGCGCCACCCTTCTTCCCGAAAACGCCCACCAACTTGCTCATTGGCTTCTCGTCATGGTAAAAATTTATGAAATTTACGACTCCGAATATTACTCTATACTCCTACATCATTTAGGTATTTAGAGTGATTGAATAGTGGAGCAAACAAATATTGCATACGAAGGGCAAAATGGGCCAGAAATCGCGAGGAGACTGGCTCGCGAAAGTACGCCCAAGTATCCGGGTTACGATCCACCTTCTTTGCACGCTCGGAAGCGCTTTCACTCGCGCATATCGTTGCTCTCCGCTCGCTGAAACGATTGTTGTGTCGTTAATCGAAAACTGTCGCGAAAATACGTTCCTCATACTCGTCCCTACCTTGCCACGAAAAAAGAAAGAAAAAAAATCCTTACCAATTAAATGCATTATGCTCCATCCATTATTATAATTAATTAGTGATCACCATGCTATTAAAACGAAATAAATAATCGCGATGGAATATTCAACGAACGAATCGATCGGAAATCTGGCCGATGGCGACGACCGTATTAATGCGAATATTAATTAAAATCAAGTTAAAGTTTCGCAAAATGTCCACCCTCTGCA